AACCCTACGACCAAGAACACTTTCTAGCACAGAATATACTTTTTGAATGAATGAATGAGTTCAGATCATCGTAGCATACAGTTATGGGGTGATTTAGAAGTTCAAATTTATTGCACTTCACTGTTACTTAAAACCATGGTTCTAAATTTTATAAGACCCCTCGTTTTCTTAGCGGAAAACACAAGATAGAGCAGTTTACCTCAGACAGGTTATCTGCTCCATTTTCAAGCTGACATACAACTTGTTTTTAAAGGAACGCTAGACTTTTGATCCAGATATACAGCTTTCAAGGGAGAACAGCATTATGAAAATGGGAAAATTCAACTGTCACCGTTTGAATTGGGACACAGGTTCAAGAACACAAGTTCTTGAAGTCAGCATGAACATCAGTGCTTGTCAAACACTACAAATAACCACTGGTTGTTAATTCTTTAAGAAGATGGGAGAAGGAAGCTACATGAAGTCCAATTTCCTGTAGAAAGGGAAAAGACGGTGACAAACATCAGTTTTGCTAATTATCTAAGCAGGAAGCTAATGCCCTTTGAAAGGGGCTCCAAAGATAATCATTGCAATGGCTACCCTAGTTCCCATCAGGGACACTGGGCTGAAGGAAAGCTGTAACCACTGAACCACAGGGAAGCTCACTGCAGTACCAAAACTGCAGTGACTAACGACATCTAAAGACTGTAACCACCTCCTCACAACATGCCTTTGTTCTCAGGTTTTCACAGATGTGATTCCATTCGGAGCACTCCCTACTCCGGTACCTGAAAACACACTAACGACAAGTATTATAACTTCGGAAAACAGGAGCCTTTCTTAGCCTCTGCACCTCCTCTGAGGAGTGGAGCGAGACCACCCCATATTCAGTGTAAATTAAAGAGTTTTCTGGCTGAGCTGTGAGAAAGAAAAAGAGGTGCTATTGTGCTTTTCTGTCACTGTGCATATGAAATAGCTACTATGCTAAGAGAAGCTTTATGTGAGCCTGAGGACGGAAACCTTCAAAACTATGAAAAAGCCATCTTAGCTGAATTTAGTTGACTCACTCGTATATTACATACGTGTAGGGAAAGGATTAGGGGTCATTCCATCACTAAATGTTTCTTTCTAGATTTCACTTTAAGGCAGTCACAGCTTATCAATCTCAAACTTATACATGGCTTTAATGGTTTCATCCTCCTACTCTCTGACAAAATATTTAAATTCAGGTCTATTTCTGCAAAAGACCAAGACTTTGAAAATAGAAATCAAGACAGCCAAGCATATTTAAAGACAATAGGCAATAGATAGTGCTAAAAATGATTACAATCCACTTTAGAAATTAACCTTAGGTCAATTCCACCAGGAGACCTAAGGATAGGTGCCCAGATAAGTTAGCTATATAATGAGTATCATGGAAGTGACAATCAGATAAGAAGTTACAAGGTTATGTGAGCCCTAAGTGTCTCCCTGAGAATCTGCAAGGTGTTTCTACATCTACTGCATCCACTGCAGTCTACAGACTGCAGCTTCACTTAAGGTTGGTCATGTAATCATGAGATGTTACTGCATTATTGATAAACCTGAAAAATCAGTCAAGCCCTTTTAAAGTCATCATACCACTTAGCACAGTACTTCCACTTGAGTTAAAGCTAAGAGGCAAAATGAGGAGAAAGATTTTCTTATCCTTACAGCTGATTCCACACTCACATGAAAATTAGAACTAAACTCACTGCATCTATAAGCACCCATTGCAGGTGTAAATTTTTAAAAGAACAGAAAGGAATAAAAGAGATAGAAAACAAATCAATCTAAGGTAATTGGGAAAGATAGCTGGATAATCAAGAAAAAAATCCCCCATAGCAACAAAATAGAAGAGATTATTTATGTAGATTTACAAGCAGATGAGGTCCTGATGTACTTTTTTAAAATCTACTTCTCCCCAGGTGTTTTTCTGCTTAATAAATATAACATCCAAGTTGGAATATTGTTGTAGCATTGAATCACCTAAATTTTGGCTATGCTTTTCTGCTGTTAACTATTTTGAGCTATTTCTCAAGAAGGCAGCCGCTACTGAAATCATAAGTACATAGGCTTGGCACAGCCAGAGAGAAAAAGTGTAGTCCACAGATTTGTTTCTTCTGTTTTCCCAAAACAGAATCTCATAAAAAATATGCCCTCAAATTTTGTCACTATGTAGCTGTCAGAAAGAGAAATTCTGCTCCTCTTCATAACTCTGAACATTAAACCCACTTCTTGTGCTACTGGGAAGTTATATAGCTCCAGGAAGTGGTGAGGCACCATCGCAACTGTTCAAATTGTATCCAAGCAGAATAATCAGTCAATCAGAAGCTTCAGTTCCAGTTGGATGGAAGTTTTTTGGGCCAACTTGGAAAAGCATACAGAACAAGTTTGACTTTACTGCCAAGATCATTTCCAGGACATTGGCTAATTAATTATAAAAGCTTTTTCAAAACAAATTTGAGCCTGGCAATCTTTTTTTCCTACTCAAACAGAGAAAAAAACAGGTTAAAAAATAAAAGCCTGCATTTATTGGATTTTTTGCCATAGCTTCATCTTCTTTGCAAGTCCATATTCTTCTTCTCACCCTAAAATGGTCCAGGAGCTTTTGTATTTTAAGTTACTAAAATACGAAGTATAGAACTGGAAACATTCGTTTGAATTCCTACTCTATCTTTGGTTGTAGAAGAGATCATGGGTCAGTTACAAAGCTTCTCTTCAAACTCTTTGGTGGGAAGCAAAGAATGGAGTTTCTTCCTCTTTCAGGGATGAATAGCTCATTGGATTAACTATGGCTACTGTAATAGATCCAGTGTAGATGGAGAAATGCTCTTATAACGATATACTCATCAACCTTCACTTTCTAACTTTGAAAACAAAAGGAACAAAACTCTTGAATTAAATCTTCCTGGTTTCATCTTAACATGAACCTTGATGAATACAAAATGTTAGTGATAGGCATCAAAGATTCTGGTTTTAAGGACCAGAATCACACAGGTTTTATATCAAAACCACACTCCAAAATCATAATGTTCCAACATATTTCTTCTAACACTGGAATACATAATATCTTATGTAATATACATCTTAAAACCGTCAAATTTCTTCTGAATGTGCCCAGATATGAAGATACCCAAGATGGTAAGACATTTCTCTCAGCCAGCATTTACCAGCTGCTTTATTGGCAAATTCCTGGCAAGAAAAGAACTGTCCCTAATAAAAGAAGTTTTCCTCAAAACCCCTGTCAATCAGATCTTCCTAACTCTGCCTTATCCAGTATCAAGGGCACTGCCTCATCCAGTGTCAAGACCCCTGGCAAACCTCATAATCAGACCATTGCTTGGTAAACACTGAATGGAGCCAAAATGTGCCAAAGAGTTTTTAGGGCAATTCTCAACAAGTTCTAGTGGATTGAGTTTTCCCATTTCCCCTACTGGTAGGTAATTACCAATGTATCTAATATTTAAACGATCTTCTCCTTCATCATTTCAAGAGGTAGGCAAATGGAAGTGAGGAGAGCTATCCATATTAGCACATGAAGGGAGAGCAGCTCTAGGAGTCAAGAATTAATCTCTCGATGTAAAGGGGGAGGTAATTAGGCCTGACCAAAGCAGAGTGTCCCTCTTCTGGGGAATGCAAATAAATTAAGATGAGAAGGATAACATCAGATTTCAGAGAATCTTAAAAGTCAGCTACAGAATTCTGAATTTAACTCGACAGGAAGCCATTAGAAGCTTTTGATCCAGGAGAGAAATATGAGGGCAATAATATGAAAAGTATATTGAATTGGGAGAAAATGGAGACAAAGGATTAGTTCCAAAGTTTTTTCTAGCAATCTAGTCTGAGACGATGATGGCCCTGTTAGGGTGCTGCTGGGGAGAAGGAGAAGGAAGAAAAAATACAGAAGCCATTTCACAAGAAAGAGCATAATTTCATCTATCCTATACTTTTTAGAATTCTCCAATACCTATAAACCTCTGTCACTACTATAAGTGCTTCCAGTTGAAAAGGAACATTGTCATAAATAAGGCTTCATTGCCTTAGGAATACATAATTCAGATTTCTGTATTTATTCAGGTAGAATTTTCACCCAATTAGTCCAAATAACTGGGTTTTTTTAAAACGCAAAGTGCAAAATTATACCTACTCACCATTTTTCTTTTCTCTCTTTTTTTTAAAGATTTTATTTTTTTTCTTTTTCTCCCCAAAGCCCCCCGGTACATAGTTGTATATTCTTCGTTGTGGGTCCTTCTAGTTGTGGCATGTGGGACGCTGCCTCAGCGTGGTTTGATGAGCAGTGCCTTGTCCACGCCCAGGATTCGAACCAATGAAACACTGGGCCGCCTGCAGCGGAGCGCGCGAACTTAACCACTCGGCCACGGGGCCAGCCCCCCTACTCACCATTTTTCTATTTTCAAGCCCAGATACCTACTCAACTGAGAAAATGGCTGAGTTTCTACCATATTCTTTTCAAAAGAAAGCAAATTGAGATTCAAAACCTAACTGTACTTCATTTCAAATAGGCTACTTACTGTATGTTTTAATAGACAGACAAAACAAAAAATATACAGCTAATAAGATGAACTATCATCACCTTTGCCTAAAGTATCCCCCAAAAGTTAACAATTGCCAGCATTTCTTGGCCCTTTATAATAGTTTATCAATGCACCTTTTCATAAATTAGCTCATTTAATCCTCACAATAACCCTGAGGTAGGGATTGTTCTTACTATTTTGAAGTTGAGACGACTACAGCTCCAAGATTTAAATTCCCAAGAGAATACATCTGTAAGGGCAGGAGTCAAGGTTTTAATTCTTATCTTCTGAACTTCAAATCGCTTCACATACTGCTTCCCCTTCCCTCAGAGAAAGCACAGAAACTCCCATCGACACATATTGGTTCATTTTAAGTTAGGGAACCATCATTTCTAATCTTTTCCCAGTATCTTCTAGATGTACCTTTAGTCTTACATTTTAAAGAAGCAAGAATTCTTTGCTTACCTGGTCCTTCTCTGGTTTATCAGAAATGTCATTCAGACTGGAGGAAGTGAGATTCCTATGGGTCATGGCTGGGCTACCTGGAAAAACAAAAGTGAACCCTAATTAAAGACTTCTCATCAAAAACACAAAGACTTTGGTTGTTTACTTGATAAACACTAGTAGATGATGATGGGCATGGTGATGATGCTTTACCTATGTTAGGATTCTCTTGAAGAGGGTTCCAGAGTCCAGATGGGTGCAAACACAGTTAAATTAAAAATACGTACAATCCCAAATATCACGTTTAAGTCTTACTGACTGGCCCTATTTCAAGATAAGTTAAACTTTGAAAGAAACATCTAAAACAATAAGCATTAAAATAAAGTTACTCCTGGTTTGGTTTGCTTTTTGTCACTGCCCTGTATCTAATCTGCCTGATGTCCTTTCCTCTCCCCATCCCCCGCAGAAAGGGGCTCTTTCCTCCCACCAGCAGAGCTGGCCCCAGGATAAGGCTTGGACCTCCTCTCCCCAGGCCTCTGCAGTCCTTCCTAGGGCACCACTCGCTCTGATCAACCCAAAAGGCCAAATGCATTCTCTTCTCTGGCTAACACTCTAATCAAGAATATTTCTCCTTAGTGGGCATCTGACCCAGAGTCCCCATTCTTTGCCTCAAAGCAGTGTCATCACAGGCTCCCTTACTTTCTGCTTTCCCTTGCCAGACTAAAACAAGCATATCCCTTCTTCCCCTTTAACAAGAAACTTCTCACTCAAGTCAAGGGATGGGTTCCACCAAGAATACGTTATGGGAACCAAACCCTCTGGCAATATAGCTGCTGTAGGTAAAACCCATGGCAATCCGGCCAATGACTTCAGACACCATTATGTAAGAACAGAGAGGAGGGACGTCTAAAAGAGTGATAGACCAGTTTCGAGTAGACTATGTTAATCAACAGAATACTGAACTTTCATTCTGTGGTTGGACCTGCAATTTCTAGGCTGACTAAGCAAAAGAGTAACTTTTCAAAGCCCTGGTGTTCAACCCAACCCCTTCAGGGTGCTGAGCAATGCATTCATCATTAATCCTCAGTGATCTGACTCAGGCTGGTCTTCACACCAAAAGGACAAGGGTTGAAAAACAAGCACTGAAGTTGGAACACAGCTTCACACTTGCTTCCAAATAATTCTTTAGTTTAACAGACTTTAATTCCTTCAGATCGAAACTTCAACACAATTTTACAAAAGACTAAAATCTACCCCTAATAATTTAAAGTCCATATAACAGCGGACTTTTAAATAATATAATTGTCTTTAACTACTAGATTAGAAAAATCCTAATTGTCTTGAGCTGGCAAGACAGGGTATTTTCTGCTCTGCTGCATTTCATTGAGCAAGCACGGCCTAGATCTCTTAAACCCTTTACCTGGTGCGATGCTTTATTCTAGGAAAATTTGAGAATAGGGCATTTTTCAAAGGAAAGTAACATCTGAAAAACTGCTTTATGAGCAAAATTAAAAGAAACTCTTTGAAGGCCACATTTTCTTCTTTGAATTGCAGCCCAGGTTTCCAGTGTCCACTCAATACAAAAGGTACCAGGTACAAACACGAATGCCCCCAAATAACACAGGGCTTGAAACTAATTGGAAATAGGTATACTTTGCACCTTACATTAAAAAAAAGAAACCAGTTATTTGGACTATCTAGGTGAAAATTCTACCTGAATAAGTAAAGAAATCTGAACTATATATTCCTAAGGCAGTGAAGCATCAGCAATCCTAATCATAAGTTAAAAGTAGCTTATGTAAATAAAAAGATAAGACTGATTTCTAATTATAAATCAATTGTATGTAAGTGGCAGTACTGAAATAACTTGAAAGTTTTTCATTAAATAATTTAAATTTCCTGGGCAATACCCTGAACTCATTGATTTACCTTGGAAGCTCTATAAATACTGCAAAAATACATCTCAACCCAAGCACTGTCCTAACTGTTGCAAAGTCTAAATAGGTAGATGCCAAACAACTAAGGTTTTTATTATAATGGTAATGTTGATTGATGTCACAACTCTTCCAAGAATCCTCATATACTGTCTCATCATTTCTCTCATTTCTGAAAGACAGTTATAGTATAGCTATCTATATTTGTACTATATGGGAGGCAGAGAAAGCCACAGATCCAAGGAAGATGCAGGAACCAGATAAGGAAGAGTAGGCCAATGTTAAGAAACAATCAAATCTATTGTCCCTCCTACCCTTATCTGATTCTCATTAATAAAAGTAATACTAACAGCTTCATTCATGTTTAACTTTGCAATACACTGGAAGAATTCAAAAATCAACTTCTGACTATACCCTAAGCAAGATGATAAGCATTCTTCAATCTTCTCCCACCTCCCTCCCTAGCAAACTTCCACCCCTACACCCTAACACCTTGAACAGGACACAAATGCTTTCCAGTGCAGTCATTCCCAAAGTGTGGTCCCCAGACCAATGGCATCAGCATTACCTGAGCACTTGTTAGGAATGCAAATTCTTGGGAGTCACCCTAGACCAACTATATCAAAACTCTGGGTATAACTGCTGGTGGGAATGCAAACTGGTGCAGCCACTATGGAAAACAGTATGGAGATTCCTCAAAAAACTAAAAATAGAACTACCATACGATCCAGCCATCCCACTACTGGATATTTATCCAAAGAGCCTGAAGTCAGCAATCCCAAAAGTCCTGTGCACCCCAATGTTTATTGCAGCACTGTTTACAATAGCCAAGACATGGAAGCAACCTAAGTGCCCATCAACAGACGAATGGATAAAGAAAATGTGGTACATATATACAATGGAATACTACTCAGCTGCAAAACAGAACAAAATCATTCCATTTGCAATAACATGGATGGACCTTGAGAGAATTATGTTAAGTGAAATAAGCCAGCGAGAGAAAGATAATCTGTGTATGACTCCACTCATATGAGGAATTTAAAACTATGGACCAAGAACCATTTAGTGGATACCAGGGGAAAGGTGGGGTGGGGGGTGGGCACAAAGGGTGAAGTGGTGCACCTACAACATCCCTGACAAACATTAATGTACAATTGAAATTTCACAAGATTGTAACCTATCAATAACTCAATAAAAAAATAAAATAAAAAAATAAAAAATAAAAAAACAATAGAAATGCAAACCAAAACTAAAAAAAAAAAAACTCTGGGTATAGGGCCTAGCAATGTGGGCTTTAACAAACCTTCGAAGTGATTCTGAAGCATGCTAAAGTTTGAGAACCACTGCTCTAAATAAACCAGTTATCTTAACAGGAGAGTGCATCCTGGTCGGAATCTGAATTGAAAAAAACATACATAAATTGAAGTAGCCAGAGGGGTAGTTCTGATAACCGTGCCCTCCTCCAAGCCACTGCTCCAAACTGTCATATCTCAAGCAAATCATTAAATTAGCATCCTGGCCACATAAACACACAAAAAGGATCATACTTGGCTTTTCCTCTAAACCCTCACCTACACAATCAAATAAATAAGTAACTTCGTTTTGGAAACTCATTGTTTAATCAGCCTTTTCCAGAAACACATCACCCACATCACAGAAGACAAGGACAAGAGCCAAAAGAGATTACAAACCAGATTAGATCTGGGAATCAGAAATTTGTGTGTGGCATTTTAGCAAACCCTGGAAGCTGTTACACAACTGGTCCCTAACAAGGTCCTATCATGGATACTTTGCACCTGACATTCAATAAGACACATTGTCAGAATAAGTCAGTGCTTTCTATGTAGAGGTTTGGCCTATAATGTAACCTCATTATACTGCAATCTGGAGTGAGTCGGGGTATGAGAGGAAAATGTCACCTTGTACCAAAAACCTGAAATGCAAGAGTACTCTAAAGCATGCTACTTCTTCTGCAGGTGGCAATTCATTTACTCAAAGCTGTTACTACTAGGCCCTTTCCATCTAAAATCCAGAGCACACAGATGTCTTACAACTGTTCTTGGTCCAAAGAAACTTTGTTTTTTTAAGCTTGATTTTTACAAAAGAAGAAGAAGAACCAGCCTCAAGCGCATAATTATAATTAATTTCCATATCACCATTTTCTTGCCATAAGAAAAAGAAAGCTTTGGAGAATCATATTTTCTAGCAGTTTCACACTATCAAAAACAATTTCATTTTCAAAGCACCGACTTGGCAGGTACATACTGTCTTCTACAACAATTAATTGCATTCTGTACTAAGTTTGAAAATCATTGTTATTCTTTAGCACACATGTAGCAATTCATAAAGTCCTTTGCAATTATATGTATTAGATACAATAAAAAAGAGTGAGGAGAATGTACAGCATAGAAAGAGGATGATATTTAAATGTGTACATAGTAGATAAAAATGTAAATATGTATATAATGCAATGGCACATAAACTCCCCCATCAGCACCTCATACCTTTATAATGAACCAGGAGATAACATAGGAACAAGCTAAAACAAAGATCACCTGGCCTATGAAATAAATTAGTATTTTTATTTTTAATAATAATTAAATAATATTTTTAGCATGAAACATAACTAAGGTAACTTACATATAACAGCTATATAAGTGAATCTGAGTGTTAATGTCAGAAAATTCAGAGGTAGGGGTCTGATTTGCACTACTTGAAACTACAAAACTAATAATAAATGTAGTTGCAGAATAACGCATGCTAATGTGTTTCATATCCCACTGACTCACTGGTATTCTTTTCTCTCCCTTTGTTGACATAATAAATCTACTATAAAATGTCTATAACTAAGATTAAGGGTCAACTTATCTTTTTGAGTACGAGGTACTTTAACTTACATTAGCTTACTTAATCCTCATATAAACACTTTGAGGCTAGCATTATTGTTACCACTTTATACACAAACAAAATGGACTTGAAGGAGGTTAAGTTTATGGTCACACAGCAAGTGGTAAAACCTTAACTTAAATCTGGATCTCTTAATACCAATCCCACTGCCTTTGAGAAAAAAATTGGTCTATGTTATTTACATAAATAAACACATAAATGTCATCATTTCTAATCAAGACAAAATTTAATGTACAACCACAAAGAATATATTTTAT